GGAACAAACGGATCTGGCAGGGTAGCAGGTTGCTCGTTCTGAGGCTGGGGGTTGTAATCTTCGTGCTCCAGTTCGTTGCGAAGCTGCTCTTCTAAGTGGTACTCAGCATCATCAATCTCGGCCTGGAGGGTATCCGTGTTCTGCTGTTGAGGAGGTTCGGGTGTCTTTGATGGGCTCTTGCTTGTAGGCTCTTCCTCGTCTTCGCGGACTTCTTGCAGGCGAGGTGAGTTTCGAGCAGGCTGCAAATATGAGAATTGCTGATGCGGCAGCATGGGATATTGTAGAGACTGGTGACGCTGGTGCAGGTTCATGCCAGCGGGGTTCTCTGCTCCGAAGGGTGACTGAGGAGACATCATGCCCATGAGAGAAGGCGAATCATGGCGGTTAAGCCCTGGCCAACCCGATGGAGATTGTTGTTGGAAGCCAAAGGGCGAGCTGTTGGCAGGGAACGAAATGGATTGCCGCGGGTTGAATTTACCGGGCATGCCAGCAAAGGAAAGTGGTGAGGCACCATGGGAAAGGCCGGGACTGTGCGTCGAGGGCCGTACGAAATGGCCTGGTTGGAATCCTGGCATACCATGGTTGCTTGAGGCCGACGAGGTGGGTAGAGGAGGAGAGAATGGAAGAGGGGGATACTGAGCGGAGGGTTGGCGGCTGAGGTCTGTTGTCGCAGGAGAGACAGAAGGTTGCTCGGGTTCATCATCACCAAAAGATACACCAAGCGCTCGCAGCTTCGCTTCCTGAAGCTCATTCATATAGTCTTTCCAGGCATTCAGATCGGGCAAGGTAACCTTGAAGCTGCGCTCTTCCCTCTCTTTAACTACCTCATCAAAATCAGGCCAAGAATCTCGGGTTTGAGAATCGGCTGTGCCTTCAACCTGATAGCCCTCGACTTCCAAATCAAAGCCTGAAATGTCATATCCAAGCTCTTCCCATGATGAAAACATCCTCTCTATCTCATCTTGACGCAAGGGCATGGGCGCATGTCCAGGTTGGCCTCGCTCAGTGTCTCGCGGTATGAGAACCATGATGTTCTTGCCTCTCCACGGTACCTTCTTTTTTAGTCGAGGTGTTGGTGCTGGTTCTTTAGGTAGAGGCTTTTGGGTGCCCTTGATCGGTGTTGCGGGCAGCGTTGGCTCCCCATTGGCAGTAGCACTAGGGACACGCTTCTTTGGACTTTCTGCGACAGGTACATCCGGGGTGGAGGCGGCCTGAGACCTGTCGCTCGCCGCATCGTGCGTTACTGGCGCGGCTTCGGAGGTCGCCATACTGCTGTTCTGTCCCGTTTTGGGACTGAGGGAATCCCCTGGTCGGAGGGTCTCGATGCTAGATCTGGCCCGTGGATGGTGTCCAGATCCTTCTCGAGACAATTTCCTTGTTCTCTGGATGGGTCGGGGAGTGCGTGCTTCGCCCTCTTCCAACCAACCAGGTTCAGAGCCGCTCACTGAAGAGTGCTCGCTTCCACTTCCGTCACTAAACCAATGCTGACTCTCTTCGTTAGGGTCGTCAGTGGTGTGAGTACGTATCCAATCCTCAGTAAGACCACGAGTCTGCCGTCGAGCGCGATTCGCAAGAACGGCGGCGGCAGCACTCAGCGAAGAGCCTGGCGGGTCGGACTGTGAACGTAGCAGGTCAGGAACTGGGCGTAGAAAAGGGGTCTCGATATCCAGGTGATGAATTGGAGAGTCGTCCGAGGCTTCACTTCCAGAGCTCTGACGACGAAGGTTGCGATCTGACTGGGGGTAGGGAGAGCCCCAGCTGGCAGTACCAAATTGAGTTTCGTCTGGAGGTGGTGTCCTCAAGAATTGTAAAGCTCTTTCCGGGAGCCGAGGGGCTTGAAGCGGAGGAAGAACTGGCGAAGACTCGATCTCCTCTTCGCCGTCAACAGTTGACGTATTCGATAGTGTAGGAGAAGCCGGTGAGGCAGGGCGGGATCGAGAGTATGAGGCTCCGTGACCGTCCTGTGCGGATGCACCAGGAGGAGCAGCCGACAACGTTGTAGAAGACGTCTTTACAGCGGCCTGTTTGTTTGGTGGCGGACCCGGTCAGCAACTGTGAGTTATGCAGTGGCGTCTGGAGATGAATGTGTGTTCTGCCAGCTCATGCATGTCCAAGACCAAAATAAGGAAAATGTGTTTCGGTCTACTCACCCAGGGAGATCAGTGCAGACTAAGAATATGTCTGCAGCTGAGTCTCAAATAGAGCCAGTCCTTTCTCTCAAGGTCGGTCGCTCAGTTGAAAAGCCGATCTCGAAGGCCTGAGGGAGGGGACACAGGTTTGTGAAACCGTATTCGTGGCCGATATTTCCCAACGGTCGAGAAATATCTGGATACTACGCGACGCGTTGTCCAACTTTAAGGGGGCGGTCGGAATGACGGTTTGCCTTGAGAGCTATTTAGGTGGGAAATTTCCGGGGTGTGGAAACTGGCTTCCAGGGGTGTCGCGCGTAATAATAGAGAAAAAAAGCGTCTATCGAGAACCTAAGAAAAGAGCTTCATGAGGGAAAAAGAGTGGCCAGAAGACAACGAATATGAGAAAAAGATGATGCCGGCCGGACACATCGGGGTTTTGGGAATGTTGTCAGTTGCGAAGTTGGGCGGCCAGCATTAAAGGGATGAAGGAGAGAAAGGACAAGATGGAGAAGTTGCGTAGACAGAGAGGAACAGTAGAGCAAATTGAAGACGTCTCTCATTCGAGGGGGGGTGATATGAGATTAGATGAGCCCTCGAGAGCTCTGTTTGATAATGAGTGGACAAGGCAGCTCAAAACTTCATGCTAACTGGGACTAGGTAGAGTCAAGAGAGGGTCAAGTGCCATCTGTCTGTACCTGCACATGCAGCTGCCTCTGGTGTCAGTGGTGTTTACTTGCACCTGCGCTGCTCGGCGGCCACTTCCAAGTCTGGGTGTGTGCTGGCCCAGCTTTTCCTTCTTGGTGACGCTGTAGAGCACAAGGATTGACAGCAAATCATCCAATTCAGACATTGAACAGTTGGCCACTTGGGAGAATTGCTGTAGCCTCGTCCACAGGGAACATCTTCAAAGGCGAGCTATTCTGTAATGAGACCCGCTCTCGTCCGTACCCGCACTGGCCACGACGTAATTTCGCCAAGGGCCCCTGGCATCTTGGAAGAATTTCGAAGTGATGAACTCGACAAACGATAGGTTGGTAGGGAATACCTTTGTCTGTGTTGTGAATTGCGCTTTGATGGTCTATCCTTCATCATTTTCTGTATATTTTCAACTCGACCCGCACCTCAGCACGCTACAGGCTAGCACAACAACTGATCCAGCACTGGCGGCTGCTTCGCTGGCATTGAGGCTTATCTTCATTTGCTCATGACATGTTACCCTCAACTTGAATCAGCAGGTATTCTATTACTGGCTGCCAGCGCCTGTATCAGTAGGCGGCATCACCGTTGAGCCCGGGTCCCGACATTCTTCTATTTCTTCTTCCACGGTTCGAGTATGAACATGCCTGCACAGTCCCATCTTGGGATAGGCCAATGGACAAGTGGACTCGCATTGAATCAGTCCAGGTCAATCATTTCCCCGGAGTTTAGGTCTGGTTCAGGTTTGACAACTCATCATACTACCTTCCCGACCATCCTAACCTCGTAACACCTATTCATCGTGATAGCACCCAATGGAATGCGAGGTTTAAGAATTATGCCCATCTAACTCTAAAACTTTCCTTTCTCGCACTGAGATCTCAGGAATCGAAAGTCAAATTTTTGCCCCTTTCTTTTTTTCTTACAACTCCACTAGGACCCTTAAAAAGGTCGGGGCCGCACCCGCCCGTACCTTGAGCTAACTCGGGCTACCGTCGTTAACCTTTGGAATGCCAGTTCAGGAACCTGGGCTGCCGGCTTTTCCGCTTCAGGCATGCAAGGGCTCTATGCTAGGCTCAAAGTGAGCTGCGTCTGGTGCAGACGAAGTTGATCTGCTTACCCTATATCAAACACAACGTACTATTCGGCACCAATCCAGATTTTATGATTATTCGGAATAAAAGTGCCAATGGACCCTTTGGACGTGTTCATTCTTTGTTCCGCTTACCTGGCTATCACGGGGATACATGTACTGCAAATGAAAGGCCTGGGCCTAGTATACACGTGCGGCTTATAAGTACCAGATGTTCAACGTGGAAGGTTTCCGTGCCATGCCTCCACTAGAAAACTCACCAGCAATTAAGCAATTATTCAAAATACATTGTCCAGACATAAACAACGAATTTCGGTGGGCAACCATGACTAAAAATACGTATGATATATACCCATGGACTTCGATATGGGGCGCTTGTATCTTGTCAAGATAGGCTGTGAACAGCTATCACATATGGTTTGTAGTAACCAGGCTACAGTTGACCTGACGCAAAGTCAGTAGTTAAAGATGGAGATGGTATTGTTATTGTCATCGTGAAGCATGATACTTTGTACCATTATCAGAAACTTGAGCAATCTACGCGAAGCCCATAAGAGGTCAAGATCGACTAATATGAGAGAAAACCACAGTGCAGTACTTGTCTGATAAAGCCTTGACGACACAATAGGCCAAGCCCATAATCAGCCCAAATGGAGATGACAAAGGCCACTGTCATCAACAATGATCGACCTCGTCGCATATTTGCATGAACACTGCCGTAGGGACACCCATAAAGGTGTACTTCACTCATACTCAACATTTAAGAACACATTTTACAAGCCAAGCTTGAGATACTATTAATTGAGTTTCTACACACACAAACCCATTATATAGCGGGCAGCTGGCCTGGGGCCGACTTTCATATGTCCTGCGAAAGGGGAAAAAATGCATATATGCAGCATGATCAAGCCCAGACAACTCAAAAACTGGAATCATGAACCAAGTCATTCACGCTGCAATGATTTGCTCCCAAAGGCCGCAAGGTTTTGGGACACAGGGATATACGCTGCTTCAGCCGATTGCAGCCGTGACTTTCGTTATCAAATTCGTACAGCACTTTCTATGACTCCCCTGTGAAAAATATCCGTGTCCGAAACGCCTATGACCTTGATGACTTCCATCGGAACGGATGCTGGAAAACGTGGAAAAGAAAAGAAAAGAAAAGAGAATGCTTTTTATCAATGATGCAAAGGAAACACGAGACTCCGTCGTTAAAAGTTGGACGAGGCGTTCACGGGTGTTGGCTGGTGATAAGTGTCCAGCGTGGATTGGAATGGGCTGCGTTGAGGACCTGAGCTCCCGACACTACCGTACTCAGTCTTCTCAACGCTGTGGTAAGGGCCGTTGCTGCTAGGACGGCTATTGTTCTCGTTGAAGTCCATGAGACCATCGGCTTCTTCTTGGTGCTTCTTGCGCCCCCAAATTCGCCATGCGACAAGGCCAAGAGCACCAACAACAATTGCACCACCAATACCGACAACAACTCCAATAACAGTGTTGCGGGTCTTGGTCGACATGCCTGAAGAGCTTCCGTCGTCATCACCGTCGCTCAGACCAGGTGTTGACGTAGACACACTCGTAGTGGTCATGGTCTCAAGATTGCCATCGCTGTTTGTCCTTGTAACGACGGCGACGTGCGTAGAGGTAACAGGTCTGGCGGTAGTTCGGGTGTCCTTCTCGGCGGCAGTGCTGGAAGCCTCATCGTTGTTCTCGCTGGCGGTGCTGCTGGCGTCGTCACTGTTCTGGTTGTTGCTGGAGGTGCTGGTGGTTGCTGGGGAATTGGCTGTCGACTGAGCAGCAGTGTTGGCGTCAGTTGCAGAAGCTGATGACTCGGCGTTGTCGGTAGCCTCAGACTGTGTGGCAGCGGCTGTCTCGGAGGGCTTGCTATCAGCAGCACTAGACTTCTCGGCGGGCTTGCTGGTGGGAGAAGCGTTTGTAGGGGAGGAATCGGCAGCGGTTGTCTTCGCAGAATCGTTGTTGGTAGGCTCAGCATCAGTGGCAGATGGGTTTGTTTGTTCATTGGTAGCCTGAGTAGCCTCAGCGTCGGTTTTGGCAGAGTCGTCCGAGGTAGGATCGGCTGCGTCAGTAGGAGCAGGATCAGATGCAGAATCTGCTTGAGTAGCCGAAGGCTTGCTGTCGGGTGCAGTAGCGCTTGGTTGAGAGTCATCGGATTGGCTTGGGCTTGCTCTGCGGACGAGTCGACGCTCCCGCATGTGAATCTTGTTGAGGTCAATCCACGATGCCTGAGCGACGCAAACAACGGCGAGAGCTACCATTAGCAGCTTCAGGAGGCGTGTCGTGTACATGGCGACTGAGGTTGCGGAGTGTTTCGCGATAAAAAAAGGTTGACTAGGCAGGATATGCCAGCTGAGATATGTAGAGGTTGTCGTCCTGGCTCACAACTGCTAAGGGGGAACAAAGGCGTAATGGCGCTTTAAACTGGCTGCTGACGCGAACTTCCAGGGCGATAGACAACCCAGTGAGGAAATCGGTTATCCGTGATCAAGAGTTGAGCCAAATCGTCGTTTGTGAATACCTGAACGAATAGGCGTGAGACAAAGAATAACAAGGCTTTTCTGTAACTGCAGTGGATGTAGTCGTTGGATGTCAAATGAGTTGCGTGAGCGAGAGTGAGATCGACGAGCCAAGGCTGAGCTGGGATACGATGTTAATTTAAACGATAGAAGAAATAACAAAGACGGAAAAGCGAGAGTGAGTAATACGGAGGTGAATAGAGTCACGAGAATAAAGATTGTGTGACGGCACCGACGGGAGGTGAGACTTATAAAGGGACAAGGGCAGGCAAACAAAGGGTAGATGGATGGATGGAATGGAAAGATGGGTCAGGAAATGCTGGCAGACTTGTGAGGTCTCCTCGTATTTGCCTGGGCTGCATGGATCCGGTGGTACTGGACGGAGGCTGTGCTTACCCCAGCACACGACCTCCCCCACTGGCAGACTGGGCAGGCCACTGCTGAAGTCGGGTGCGTTTGGGTAACATGCGCCAAAACATCACCTAAAGAGCCGCCTAAGACCACCTACCTAACCGAAACAGACAGCCCGTTGGTGGCGGCCACACTGATACGGACGGCCGCGTCTAGACCATGCTCGAAGCTGCCCTGGGTTAGGTTTACTAGGAATTCGATTTTTTGTAAGGTTGCCCGTACCGATATGGAACTTCAGTAAAAAAGCCACATAATGAAGCCAGCGTTTCGTCTCGGTAGTTGTCACTTACCGATTCGACAACGAGCGTGTCTATGCCAATTTTTTTTTAATTTTATTTAACGATCTATTGTTCCTGTTTCTGCACGGTCCCCTGAATGATGCATAATAATTGTATTTATATGCAAGTGCATAGTTGTTCCTGACAGGAGACCCGAGTTGGGTACTTACTGACGTTATGACGACTGAGACATTCCCGATTTTAATTGATAACTCGATATCTTTTATATCTATTTTCCTCCATAAAGCACTGCGTTTCTCACCAAGTTATTACCCAGCTATCCGGTGCTTCACTGCTTTCAAACCAAACCGGCTATAGCATCTATCTCGAATGGATCTCCCACCCCTGTCAACTCTTTAGGAGTCGTCGTCATCACTCTTCTGCACTCAACTGCTTACATGGAGACACCCACATGTTAGTGAACGCCATGAAGAAACGGCTGCCTCCAGGCCCCGGCCCATTATTATGACATAGCTCATCGTCAGGGTCTTCTTCTCAACGAAATTATCGGTTTTTATCAAGTGGTTATCCACTCTACCATTGTCTGGGGGATCAAAGATGAAAGAATAAACGGGAGGCTGGTGTGGTCCGATGTGGAAACGGGCATGGGTGCTTGTCCCCTAAAAAGATACGTATCTATGCAAAAATAGCATCGGCCCACCAAGAACATGCCAAAAACTCCCCGTCTTCCCGGATCGCCAATCATACCTTAAGGAAGATATCTAGCTATTCTTTCTTTCTTGGTTTTCTCATCCGTCTCCATTGTCGTCATGCTATTGCTCCCCAGAAGATCTTATAGCCATGGGAATCCACCTTCTACGGCATCTTGTCAAGGCTATCTCTTGTTTTTAATTTACAGCATCACGCTTGACCTTCATCTATCCACACGTACTAAAACAACAACTGTCTGAGAAGTGTGGTCGTGTTCCTAAGGCCTCTGCCCCTGCGACCCTTCATGGAACAATGTGGAGAGGTGTGACCTGTCACCAAGTTCCTCCTTGCTTATGGTGTGAATGAATTTTACTATCTAGTCACGCTTTGTTGACAGTCAGACCAGCGCAAATATTGTATCGCCAACCTCGCTTCCTACAAACAAGCCTCATCAACCAGTCAGATCCTCTCTTGTGGTCTCGTTCGTTGATTTGTTTCACATCGAGAGTCGGGCAGTAACGTGTCTTTGATGCTACGTCACTTCAGCTAGATCCTTTTGTCGATCTGTGAGGCTGTGTCGAGAATTATGAGGATGCTTAATATCAGCCCAACTAATCCCTTTCTCCTGCCCCTATCTCTTAGTCGTAGCCTTCCATACCATACCCCCAAGAAGCATGGCTGAGCAATCACTAGACGGGTACGCGTAAGAGAAGCGAACCAGCCAAGTCTGCCGTCTGCCATGAGATTATCCGGACTAGTTCGTACCACACATGATGGTCAAATGGTTCAATGGAGAAGCAGAAACACCAAGTCATTGAATAGTATTGCACTATGAAAATCGCACGTCCTATCGACAACTCTTCCTCTACGAGTGCATGATGCGCTGTGACATAGTAAAGCCAGCAGATTGAATCATACATCGCCTAAAAAGACATGCTTTTCAACAACAAACTACTCGGATTAACACAAGATCCAGCCCTCGATAGATATAGCTGTCAAGTCTGATAACATTTTCCACGTGGTCGTAAAAATGTACCTGCAATTTCTTAAAATGAAAGACGGTGTGTGTGATGGATTGAATGAATGAACGAAGGAATGCGTGTGGACGCTGTGGGCCAATTCCAGTACTCCAAGGAAAGGCTGCCTTTACCTGAAAACGCCGAGCAGTAAAAAAGTCAATGAAATTGTAAACCACTTTCATCATATATGGTATCTCGATGAAATCAAAGGAACTAGGTGAGCCAACCGTTGAGGCTCTCAGCTACTGGCTCCAGATAGGAACATTTCGATACGCTGGGGAGTTGTAGCTATGGAGGACCCGGAAAGGAGGATCTTGAACGTACACCCCACCCTGGGAACCCTGTGTACCATGCACTGGATGATTTGGGACCGGGCTTGTAACGTAGATGTTAGGGTATTGTTGAACCATGTTCGGCGTACCATAGACAAGCGCTTGATTCTGCATCATGTAGTTCTGCTGCAGCTGCTGATTGAGACTATGCATATCCATCGGAGCCCATGATTGGAGAGATGTTCGAGGTCGTCGTTGTTGATGTTGCTGTAGCACCTGTTGCTGATGCATCTGCTGTTGTTGTATCTGTATAAGTGTAGTGCTGCTCCGAGAGCGCGGCTGCGCTGGTGCCGATACTCGGCGGTGATGCTTGACTTGTTGGGCAGCAGGACCACTCTGCTGCGTACCATTACTTGAGTAGGACAAAACCCTGGAGTGTTGAGCAGCATTAACTTGCTGGGAGCTTAAACCCGCGGTAGGACTCATGGCCATGCCTCGACTTGAGTTACGTGACTCGGTGCGGCCATGTGAGATCTGACGGCTGTGCGGTGTCATTCGACCATAATCTTGGGGTAAAGAGAGTCGACGACTAGCGCTTTGACGGGAGTTAATAGGGAAAGAAGGTCTCATGGCTCGATTTTGCGCCTGTGACTTTGCTCTGGGAGGTTTACTGCCTCGATTCTGCATACTCACCGGCGGTGAAGTCTTTGTTCGCAGCGTCTGATCCATTTCAAGCGCAGATGGGCTGAGGGATAATCGACGGTTCGCTGACAAGTTAGGTGCGGAAACATTCGTGCGAAGATGGGCCAGCTCTGGCTTGTCACGACTCTCCTGTATTCTCGACTTATTGCCCGTCTTTCGGGTCTGTGAAGCTAAGTTGCCAGAGCCGCTAGCAGCTTTTCTTGGTGCTGGACGGGATGACCATGAGCTCACAGCTCTAGGGCTGGGAGCCGCATTAAAAGAACGAGAAGTAAGCTCCATAGCAGTTGATGGGCGCCTTGGTGTGGACTTGGGCTCAGGCTCAGGCTTGGAACTCAAGGCAGGGCTGGCGTCTGCGCTTCGAGAACCAAATATTTGAGCAATGGATTGGCGCCACGATTGACGTCGAGACATCTTTTTGCCAGCAGTCTTCTTGACACCTCGCGCTACCTGCTCCTTCCCACGTCTTGTACTACCGAACGCATCCTGGCTTCCAACACTCATAATAGTATGCAGAGTGTCCTTACTCGGCTCCTTTCGAAGTGAAGGTCGGTGAAGTTTAGGTACAGGGCCTGCCTTGAGCCCTAAAGGATTGGCAGTGACGTCCTGTTCGACGGTAGTCACTTCCCCTTTCTTCAGGGACCCCTTCTTGCGGGAGCCATTTAGGAATCTGTATATCTTACTACCACCACGACTAACATCTGCGGTGGGCGAAGGTAGCTGTTCCTGAAAGTCTCCCTTAGAAAGAACGATTGGTGCTGTCGTGGTGTTCGACACTCGCGGCTCGAAACTTCTGTTTGATTTCAACGAAGAGAGACGCATGCGGCTACCGCGAGCAAATGGCGAGAATGGACGACTGGCAGGACTCGAGGGGCTTGTTAGACAAGTTGAAGAGGTATCATCATCTGTCGATGACAACGGAACCTCAAGGTGGATAGGCAGCCGGTTACGTGTCTGAGAAGGTACTGAGGAAGAAGTACGGGCGGAATTTGAATCCGAGGGTGAACACATCCCGGACATGTCCACGTCAAGCTTTTCGGAGGCCATTGTATTCTTGTCCGTGACACCGGATCTCAGGCTGGGCAATGATCGGAGAGAGACATTGGAACTGTAACCGCTGTCGACTCGGGACGCGGACCGATGAGTTTTCTCAGACGAAGGACTTGGGATGAAGCCGCTATCAGATCTTGACAATCCTTTAAGCATTTTGTTTTCAAGTCCAAGTTGCATTTTCTTGGGGTCGGGCTTTGCATTTGGATCTTCTCTTACGTCCAAAACCTCAGCAACCGGAAATGAGACAGCATTCCCGTTCCCAGACATTCCGCCATCGCCTGTTCTAGATTTTTCTGCATCGCTCGAATACTGGGCAACACAGCTTGTGACTCGAGCAGTAAGTGCTTTCTCATCCGTCATAAGCTCATTGGCCCCTGTCATAGTCGAGCCCTGATTCATCAAACTGAGTGGGTTCTTGGCTTGCTCATCAAAGTATTCCGCACGAGGGATTGCTAGTGCCGACTCAGAAGCCCCTTTCTGTTTGACGTCATCTTCGGGCATTGGAGAAGTTCCGGGGGCCCCGTTTGTGATGCGTAAGGATCCAAACTTCATGCCACCTAGCTGTTTATAGTCAGCTTCGACTGGCGTTACGGCTCGGTCCGGGGATTGCGCCTGAGAAGGGATTGTTGTAGGCATCGACATGCGT